ATTCATCCAGGAATTATGAGGTTTATATATACATGCTGGCCTTTATCCACAAAGCTAATTTTAGTTTTATATATATATATATATATATATATGTATTAATTTATTTATCTTAAAAATTTGCATAATGCATTGTACTCAACTATTTAGACATTCATGAATATAACTCAAAAAAGCACTATAACTAGTTCAAAACTCTGTTGGACACACATGCGTAGGCCTAATGTGTTCCACACTCACTTAGTTTGTTCTCCTCCTCAGAAATGTAGCATATCTCATTCTGTTAGTCACGCCTGCACCATCAGTGCCATGGGTCGGACCAGCTGACCCTGCCATATGTCAGTGGAGCTTTAGGAATGCCTTACTCTGGTAAAAGTAGAGCTAAACTGGGATAAATGTGATCCAGAGAGCAACAACTGTGGATTTTTCCCCCCAGAGTACTAAAAGGCCCAAAATGATTACACTTTCTCGGACCTTCATAAAACTATCATGAAATAAGTCTAGGCTATGTTTTGGTGGATAACTGAATGAGAGGTTGGGGGTTGCCACAAAGTCTGCGGATGGCACCTGCTGTCTCTGGGGGTATTAGTATTTGGTTCAGACAGTAGGGTATTTTCAGCCCTGTGACAGATTAGTGCTTCCCTTGAGCAAATGTTTTCACATACAGCTCACATTGCTCAGGAGACATAATGGAGATCTCACTTATGTCTCATTCAAGTATTTCTCCCAGAGTTGTATTTTTAAAAAAAATCCTTACGAGATGCAAAAATGGACGAATTTGAGGTAATATTAAAGTATGTCAGATTTGATTCGCAGCCTTTAGTATTTGGGCAAATCTGAACTGTTTTTTAAACATTGTTGAGGTTTTAAGGAGAGAGATGTGAGATTACTGGGGCCTTTTTCTGAGGAGAAGCTGTGTTCATTTACTCTCCGATTAATTTCATCTCATTGCTTCTCTCTGTGTAGGAGAAACAAATGATTCATCTTTCCAGGTGGACAGTCTAGGAAGTTCAGATAAGAATACACAGACTAAAAAGCACTCATGCATGTCGTAAATGAGGCGAGGAAGTACATAAACAGACCCTGCGTAAATGATAAGAGAAGTAACCAAATGTGCAACTCTGTTAAAGACATCAAGAGACCTCCTGTAAATGCCACCCAGAAAACTGACTTCCCACCAACACACACTTTGATCTTGAAGACTGATCAAAGTTTTCAAAAAATATGTCTTTTCAGTCCCCAAAACGCTGTTGTCATGTGAACGAACAGGCAAAACGCATAAAAAGTTTCCAGTTTTTGGCTGAAAACATTGTCGTGTAAACGGCCCCTGAATAACAACTACTCAACTGAAGTCAGCTGAAACTCAAATATCCAACTCACCATGTCTCAAAAGATTTCTGCTGGTTGATATTATGTTAATATGTATAATAGAAATTGTGACAATTAAATATACACAATAATGCTTAAAATAAATGGAAATGAAATTATTTTACAATATTTACACAAAATTCACAAACAAAATATTTGAAAACCAAAAAAAGTAGAAAGGGATTGACCGTGATTTTTGGAAGGGACACGGAAATGACCATTTCTATATTAATGCCGATAGTTGCAAATTAGCAAAATATTTGTTTGAACGATACAGATCTATCACTAATTTGAACTGAACTGAATTCACCTAACTTCTTTCCATGTAAACATTTGCATGTTTATTTGTGTGTGTTCAGTTTAAAAAATGTTGAAATAGTCAAAAAATGGGACTGTTGTTTGGGAACTGAGTCCTGAAATACAAGAGTAAACACCTTAGACTGAGTGTAATGCAGTATTACACTAGTAGAATGGAGAATTCAGGCTGCTCTAAGATTAGTGCGCTCTAGCAGGGTCTGTGCATGCCTGTGATGTCTAGCATTCTGCATGGGCTGCTCAGAGGCATGCTTTCAGGAAACAGTTCCACTGCTGCACCCATGAGAAAATCAAAGAACTATGACAGCCATCGCTGCTATTTAAGATTTGCTTCTTAAATGAGGTCCTCTTAAGTCTTTTGTTCCTCAAATGTGTCACACAGGGTTCAAAATGAACACTTACAGAGCGCCAAATGCACAAAAAAAGAATTGCCTTTGGTGAGTACTGGCCAGTTTATTAATAACTCTTTTTTAGGGATTGCAACATAGTGCAGCAGAATGTACAAAACGATACTTTGGGCCTTGTTTCAACTTTTTCTTTTATTAAACAAATAATAAATAAATAAAAATCAACCTTTTTCAAATTTGGGGAAAACAAATCATTACACACTAAAAAATGCTGGGTTAAATACAACCCAGTGCTGGGTAAAATAGGGACAAACCCAGCAATTGGGTTGTTTTGACCCAGCGGTTGGTTTACTACCCAGAAGGTTGGGTTAAACATTTAACCAAACCGATGAGTCAAAACAGCCCAATTGCTGGGTTTGTCCCTATGTTACCCAGCACTGGGTTGTATTTAACCCAGCATTTTTTAGAGTGTAATCAATCAATAATTTGAAATAAAATACCTTTGTGATAAGGAAGTACACTTCAGCATACTTTTAAAAAGAGTACTTATTATGTAAATAATGTACTTCAAAAGAATATACTTCAGTACAAACTGAATGTAATATTTTTGGACACTTAATCACGTTAATTGCAATTAAATAGAAATGTATTGTAGTTTAAATGTATATGAAATGCAATTAGTTGAACTTTAGATCACTTTTTGACCCACTTAAGTATGTCTTAATTATATTGTTATATTGTATAATGTCGTAATTACTTCTAGTGTCTTTGAAATATGGTTAAACTGACGAGCATTTGTGGTAAACTAAAATATACTTTAATGTAATTTCTACTGAAACCTGGATATCATTTAATTATATTTGTAATTACACAACTGTAATGATGAATTTGCAATTTAGTACATTTAAAATATAATAATTTTAAATGTAATGTTGAAAAACACACTACACTCTAAAAAATGCTGGGTTAAAAAGGGACAAACCCAGCTACTGGGTTGTTTTGGGTTCAAACCGCTGGGTCAAAACAACCCAATAGCTGGGTTTGTCCCTTTTTAACCCAGCATTTTTTAGAATGTATAGTTCAAATCATAATCAAGTAATTCATGTCCTTTGCACATCATGTCATCAACACCAAAATAAGTGTATTTCTTCACGATAAAATATTGTTAAAACATGATTTATAATGTATTTTGCATTAAAACTTTTAATTTGGCATTTTTACAAAGTGCTCTTTTTAAAAGTGTGTTAAACTGAGTCATTATATTATGTGAAAGTCATTTTTTTTTTTAATTTATACTTTTATGATTTGAAGTACACTACAAGTGAGCATTTAAGCACACTTCTTTTTCACAAGCGTATCCTAAATATAATAAAACAAAGCAAAATATACTTTCATGGATGTAGTATTAACAGAGGTATTTATGGCTGGTAAATTTTTATTACATACTCACCAGTGACAGGTGTGGCAAACAGTTAATTTTAGACCCTGATGGTGCAGCTTATTTACTCAAAGCCATTTACAAAATGTTACTTCTCCTTGCATTTATCTTTGGCAAATGACTACAGTTACATAGTTCTTGTAGTTTCATAAATCAGGCTTGGTCCATAGTGAGAGCTTGACACACATTGTGTCAGTGCATGGGAGAATTCTGTCACTGTGTGTGGAATTTTGTCACTAAAGCATGTTTAGCAGCTGACCTCTGACCCCAGTCAGGTGCAGGCAAAAGAGAGTGTGTTTCAGCGTGACAGGCCTTGGGTGGCGAAAACTGAGCCTGTTTCCCTGCTAAACAGCTGCATGAGTGTGTGTGTGTGTGTGTGTGTGTGTGTGTGTGTGAGGGAGAGAGAGGGGAGTGTTGTATGAGCCCTTTATTTTGGCTGAACATATTAGTGCAGTCATTAGACCTCAATATATGATAGTGTTTATTTTTATGAAAGAAAAATAAGAGGTAAGGGAGAAAAAAAGAAATGTAAGTTAGGTTCACTCCACCACCACAGGCCTTCAAAGCACACTGTTGTCAGGATTTCCTTTAATAGACCCCTAGAGGTTTGTGCTAGAAATGCAGGTTTGTGAGACTGTGAAAGTACCAACCCTTGTAACGCTTTATCATACGTTTTCTTAAAAGTATGCAAATAATATCCTTTGCAAGAATTTACTGAATGTAATGTTTTAAGACACTTGACGACATGTTATTTATAATTACCTGTAAATGCATTATTTATATTAAAAGCAATTAGTTGAACTTAAAATAGCTTTTTCGACCCACTCAAGTAGGACTTAAGTACATCTGCATATCTAATTTCATAATTACTTCCATTGTCTTTAAAATATGGTTAAAGTGTACTGCAGAATGTACTGACAAGCATTTATGGTTAACTAAAATATATTTTAATATAATTTCTATTGAGAATTGTATGCCATAATTTTAATACATATTTGTAATGACATTTAAAAATATTTTAACATTAAATGTAATATTAATAATACACTACAGTTAAAAGTACTTTTTTTTACATGCCAAAATAAATGTAGGCCTACATCAAAATAAGTGTGCAAGTGCAAGTGCCTTTTATGTTATTAATATTATATTATCTGCAAGTACATTTTTGTAGAAACATTCCATATACTAGATCTAAAGTACATCAGAAGTGCACATTCGATGCAATTAAGCACTTCTTTTACACAAGGGAATGCTGAATTAAATCAAATTAAAGTGCCTCATGATTAATGTGTAAATGAATTTATAACTATATAAAAGCCTTGCAAAATATTTAAGTCAGAATACAGCGGCACTTCTGAGTCCTCAATGGAGAAAGATTGCTTTTCATGACATCAGCCATCAGGGCCATGATTTTTGCAATTTACTGACATTAGTGGCACAGAAATTATTCAGATGCAGAAAGACCTGTGGGTTGTGTGCATGTCACCGAAGAACATCCAGATTATAAATAACTGCCCTATGTGTTTTTGTTGCAGGTCAGCAGCAGCAGTCAGGTAACACAGAGCGATCTGAAGCCAGCTGTGCTGTACCCATGGAGACACAGGAGTGCAGGTCCACAGGTCAGGGTCAAGAGAGACTGGATCATTCCACCAATCCGAGTATCTGAAAACAGCAAGCAGGTTCCTGAAGATCTGGTCCAGGTAAACACACAGCCCACCATTAGTTGCCCAACATAGATCTGAAAAAGAAAAAAAAAACTTTTTCAGAGTTCACTAGAGCAGTGGTTCACAACCCTGGTCCTGGAGGCACCCCAACACTGTATGCTTTGCAAGTCTCTTAATCAAACACACCTGATTCAGATCATCAGCTCATTAGTAGAGACTCCAAGATCTGAAATTGGTGTGTCAGAGAAAGGAGACATGCAAAATGTGCAGTGTTGGGGTGCCTCCAGGACCAGGGTTGGGAACCACTGAACTAGAGTATACTAATTTAAAGAGGTAATGTATTTTTATGAATAGAACTATTGACAAAATTAGTACTTTATTCGTCATATTATTCTGGTTTAAAACAACTACAAAAATATGCAATACAGCAAAATAAAAGAATTAGCAAGGCTCTGTGTGTAACACACACACACACACAGTAAATATCTGGTAAAACATGAAACATATCCACACACTCTATGAGTAGATATAAGCTGTTTACCATATGGTTGTAACACGTTCCATGTCCACTCTCACAGATCAAATCAGACAAGGTTTTCACCGGGGAGGTGATATACATGCTGGAGGGGCCTGGGGTTGACCAGGACCCCAAAGGCCTGTTTGAAATTGATGAAAAAACAGGATGGATCAAGAGCAAAATGCCACTAGACAGGGAAAAACACAAGAGCTTTAAGGTAAACGTGCTTGTTGGAATTGTGTTTTTATAATTAAGTCATGAACAGAGGGAAACAAAAGTCTGAGACCACTGGTGAAAATGGGAAGCTTCTATTGCATTTTTATCAAATTGAATAATTGTGACCAAGAAATAGTGCAGAACAATATCCATTATTTGATATTTAAATATAAAAAAATACTCTTTCTTTCTTTTGAATTTTTTCACAATTATAATACAGTTTTTTCCATATTTACAGTACGGTCCCAAACTTATGAACCCTGCTGTAGAGCTCACATATAAGAGTTTGATGAATTATGTGATATATCTGAATAACTTATATGTATAATGTCCTCAGCTCAAAGCTTTTGCACTTTCCCCAAGTGGAGAGAGACTGGAAAGTCCCACCACGATTGAAATCTACGTTTTAGATCAGAATGACCACAGGCCTGAATTTACCCAGAAGGAGTTTGTTGGAACTATCCCAGAATTCTCTGTTCCAGGTAAGATATGCATGCACAATAGTATTTAAAAAATTTTAAGAAATAAAATAATTATTTTATATAAAATAAGAAAACACTGTCACATCAATGCAATGAATAGTTCATTCAAAAATGAAAATTATATCATTACCTTAATTTCCACTGAACCATGATGCTTAGAATCATTAGTAATTTCGATTCAAGTTCCATATGCAAATTACCATGCTTTCACACAAAGGGTCATAAAAATCCCCAGTATGTCCAACCTCCCACTTGGGACGTCAGCCTTTCTCATTGGACAAGCCCATCTTGAGAGGCATGAATCTTCCAAGACCTTAAAGGCCCCACATCAGTGACCCGCCCAGAGTCGGTGGTTCGGTTAGATTCTAAGATGAAGACATGAGCTAGAACGCTCCAGGACACCCTAAGTTTGTGCCAGGCCTCGGGCCTTGACTTTCCATTCACCAAGATAATCTGACTCAAACTGGTTCTTTTTCATCAACCAACTTCAGCAAAGATCAACTTGAACCTTCAGATTGCATCAACCGTGTTTTTTTTTCTTCTTCTAAAATTTTTTTATTTAGCAAAATGGCTAGGCTGTTCTATTCCATGTTCCACATCGCATGTTCAAAATACATGCAAGAATCAATTAAGTTTATGCACAATGTCGTCTTCTTATTTGGTGTCGAGTGCACTGTATTTTTGGTTGTAAGCAAACAAAGATACACTTGCGTATCATAAATGTATCATGACCTCATAAGGAGGACATGACTGTTTTTGTAAAGCAACAGCTTAGATTTTGTTCTATTCCTCACACAAAGCTATCATATTGGTTTAGAAGACTTGGAATATATTACACAATCATACAGATCACTTTTATAGTACCTTCTGGTACTTCCTTTGCCCTTTTTGGAACTTCAGCAGTCAGGGTCACCATCCACTTTCATTAGATGGCAATTCTGTTAAATATCTTCTTTCATATCCTACAGAAATTTAGATTTTTGACTGAATTATGCCTTTATGTCAGGCAGTCAGATGTACAAACATAAGTATCATAACCGAGTTGTGTGGTTCTCTGTCATCAGGAACTTCAGTAATGCAAGTTACAGCGATAGATTCAGATGATCCAATGACCGAAAACGCAGCTCTGAGCTACTCCATCATTGGGCAAGAGAGTATCCCTCCTCACGGCATCAACAAGACCATGTTTGGCATTAACAACAAAACTGGAGTCATCTACACTCGGGATGTGGGACTAGACAGAGATGTGGGTTATATTGTGTCTCAGAAATAAACAGCATAGACAAAAATACTGATTTCAAAGTCTGAACAAAGAAAGCAGTAACATGCCCTGATGTGTTGTCAGGTGGTGCAGTCCTTCAGGCTGACTCTGCAGGTGGCTGACATGTCTGGAATGGGCCTAACCTCCACCGGTCGTGCCATTATTCACATCTCTGACATTAACAACCATGCTCCAAAATTCCATTCAGAAATTGCTCGTCCTGCTTTAGTACTCTTAAATTTAATTCATATAACCCCTTCAGACCCTGTGTCCATTGTAATGGACATCACATTAATTTTTTGTTTAAACCAATAATATTTTATGTTTTTATAATATGAGTAAAGCCTGGTCATTGATTGGTCCCTGATCAACCAATCACAATGAAGATATGACTCCTAACTTAATCTGATTGAGCTACAGGTTTCACAAAGACAGGCATGACTAACCAACAAGACAGGAAGAGGAGGAAGCCCGATTTTTACCTTTTATATACAGATTTATGTTCATGGTATCAACTTGCACCTATTATAAAATTAAGACTATCAAGTGATAATATTGAAAGTTATTTTGAAGATCTTTCAGAGTTGCAGAACACAGGATTTAAAAATAATAATAATTATCAGGTCTTGAAAGATTTCAGCAAGAACCTCATGAATTAGTTGTATGACAGGTTGAGAAATTTGTGGAAGTATTTCAAATCTAAAACACAGAGCCACAAATTCTAAAATTTATGTTAATTAATGAAATATTATTAATATGGATTTCATTTATATCTTCAAAGTGACCATAGCCTGTCACTGTCACTTTCATTGGTTTTACTGAGAAACAGCCATAGTGGATATGAGATCAATGAATACACAGCAACACACACTCTCAGAGGCCATGTCCACACGTACATGGGTATTTTTCCTTCTTCCATTTAAAAAAAAATTCTCCACATGAAAATGCAAACGCATGCTATGAAGCACTGTCAAGAGCATGCCAAACCAACAGGTGGCGATATAATCTCAACCGTATAGCCATGTTAGCCAAGAAAAAGTCTCCAGTAGGCGGAGATAACAGCGCAGGCGCCGACGTCACAAGCAAGAACTCTGGTTTTGCTGTCTACAGGATAACACTGCAACCGGAGTTTTTGAAAATCTTCACCCTGGCAGGCGTTTTCAAAAATGTTCAGTTTCAGTGACCTGCGTGTGGACGAACGGCCTAACCGCGTGTAAAAAGCTACGGTTTTAAAAATAACCGCGTTCGTGTGGACAGGGCCTCACATCCCCTCCACACACACTGATGACTTGATGATATAATGCACACAATCATCTATTCATCAAAACAACCAGCAAGTACACATAAACACTTTCACATACACACAAGACATATACAGATATACTCAGATTGACCCACTTCAACCATCAAAAGGGATCAAACAAGCTTTTCTGCAACTTCTTATCATCTTACCTATTTTCTACATTCTTATTGCATTGTTCATTCTTACAGGATGTGTTCTTTTCAAAATCTTAAAGACTAGTTCAACTCTAGTACACAAACTCTACTTCATAAGTATGGTTAAAATATGAGGATTTTTATGTTGCTTCACTCCTGGCCTCCATTGTAGTAGACATAAAAAAAAAAATAAAAAAAAAGATTTATCACAAATCTTGTTTTTTAGACTATATTGGAGAAGAGCAAATAACAAGTGGATAAAAAAATCGTTCAATGAAAAAATAGGTCTGAAAGGGATACATTTAAACTATAAAAACATTTTGTTTAATCGTAAGTGCATTCCATTCATATCACACTTATATTTTAAAGTGTATTAATTCTGTAATAAGCTCTTCATTTTCAAAAAGGAAAGCTTACATACATTAATTCTAATGTACTGTATGATCTAAACTTTGTGTGTACAGACCTACTTAGAATTGTGAATTTTTGTTCAGGTTTGAATTCATTCAGGATCCTGAGAATTGGCTTGCTATTAACCATGCAACTGGACAAATCACAGCCAGGAGATCCTTCAATATCCGGTCTCCCCACGTCAGGAACAACATTTACTCTGCAATTGTGAAAGTCATAGATCAGGGTGAGCACCTCAGACCTGAAGACCAAAATAATAACAGCAGAATAAAATATTTGATACTGTGACTATGCCGTCACAAAATAACCAGTGTGCCTTTGTTTTAATAAAAATGGTAATCATTCATATGATAACTCTCTTTCCAGACGCTGATGGCATCTCTGCAACAGCTACATTGGAGGTCAATCTGTGGGAGACCAATGATTACCCACCAGTGCTCATACCCTTGAGTGGGACAGTGTGCAGTGATCGGGACAGAGATAAATTGGGCCTTCTGCTTAGTGCTGTGGATGAGGACATGTCCCCTCAAGCTGACCCCTTCACCTTTTACATTGCTGATCAAAATGTGGCTGCCAACTGGACCATCATAACTCTTAATGGTAAAACATTAGACATACATTTATTTTTTATATTTGTGTATCCTGCTGGAAACCAGCTTAGATTAGTATGAAAGTCCATGCTGGTCCTGGTTGATCTGGGTGCTGGTTTGGTGCAAGTATACCTGGTGCACCAGCATAGCCATAGTGAGATTGTTAAGCCAGTTAACCAGCATGGTCTTTCAGGTGGAACTGGTCAATCAAGTAAGTCTTGGATAATCAAGCTAGCTAAGAAGCCAGGAGTGGAAACAGACTGGTTAATGCTGGTTCTAGATATTGGAAACCTCGAGAGCATTTTGAAAGCATAAGGAATCGTCTGTATGGTATTTAGATGTCATACACCGATCGGTCTGCACACGCAAACAAAGCCAAAACCTAGATATTTTAGGCAATATAGAAATCCTGGACAGGACGCGTCCTGGGAAAATGGCATGTATGGTCACCCTAGCTAACCCTTCTCCTTTAGGGCAACCATTGTGTAGAATTTAGCACTAACCTCGATCAAACTCACCTGCCTTTTACTTTCGAGCAGTTCTGACCTTGATTAGCTTGTGATATTTATATGAGGGTTGGAGCAAAACTCAGGAAAGTGGACCTCGAGTGTAGCTAACCCTGCTCTTGGAGGGCTTGTTAAGATGTATTTGAATGGGGTTGGAGTAAATCTCTGAAGAAAAGTGGACCTTGAGGGCCAGAGTTGAGAATCACTAGTTTAAAATAAGGGTAGCCAACCTGGCTCCTTGAGGGCAACCATCCTCCAACCATAATCAAAAATATTTAAAGCTAATAAAAGTGCTCAGGATTACTTGAAAATAACAGGCAGGTGTGTTGAAGAAAGGTTGGAAGTTAAGTCTGCAGGAGGATAGGTAGACCGATAGGAGCAGCGTTGGCTACCCTTGCTTTAGAAATGGATTTCACAGAGTGTACTTTGATTTCGAAGACCCCTTGCTTCTGGTTCTGTCTCTTTACATGTCTGTTACCAGAGACCCATGCGGTTCTCCAGCCACTGATAGACATAGAGAAAGGGGAATTCTCTATTCCTGTGGTCGTATCAGACTCTGGCTCTCCTTCCCTTTCCTCTAATGCTCTGGTCAACGTGACTGTGTGTCCCTGTGACCGTTTCGGTGACTGCAAGAGCTACACCGCAGTCATCTTTGGAACCAAAACGGGAATAAGCTTCATTGCCCTTATGATTATTATGGGATGCATTGCTCTTCTGTTGTGTAAGTAAACACTATATTTATGTGAACATGCATAAGCTGTAGTATATTGGTAGTAGATATACTTGAAATTTGTTCTAATAAAGCTTTTTTTTCCAGTTCTGATTGTTCTTGCTGTGGCGGTGAAGGGCTGCACAAGGCAGAACATTAGAAAAGGAGGAGGTCTGCTGGTCGGAGCGTCTGATGATGACATCCGAGACAATGTCTTTCACTATGATGAGCAGGGAGGAGGAGAAGAGGATGAAGTAAGAGCAATGACACAAAATTGAATACATTTTACATGTAGATACAGTGTATTCTGAACTAGATTTATAAATAAGTGAATATATAAAATATATTATGCAAAGATCATGCAACAGTAGATAGGAGCAGATGTGGAGAGTAACTTACAGGAAGAACATACTATGATTTGTACACAGTATGTGCACTTTGCCAATATCTGTATATACTGCAGAATACTCATATGACCTACTACATTTGTCAAAATGAATAGTAAACACAGCACACCAAATAAATTTTTTCCACATTGCAGGATTAAAATGAAAAACTTATTTTTCAAAAATAAATAGACACTAAATTATATGCCTACATGGTATAGTGAGCTCATATGCAGTAAGCATAGGATGATTGAACAGCTCCTGTCCGAGTCAAAGACTTTGATTTATCCTGGGGATTTTCCCCATCTGACACATGGATCCTAGAGTGATAGAGTGGACAGATGCATAGGGCCTCCTGACCCACATTAAATGCTTGCAAAATCCTTGTTTTCTCAATCTTTTAGTTCAGCAAATTATAATAAAGTTGAGTGTTTGTTGGATTTTATTCTGCTTTGAGGTGAAATGTTAAACTTCCTGAAATACCTAGTTTCTCTCCTATAGGATGCATTTAATATTGATTTTCTGAGGAACCCAAGTGACATGGTCCCTGCCCCAGCCTCATTTTCCCCACAAGACTGCAGCCTGCCCAGAGGAAAGCAACCTCTAAGGAAAGATGCACCCCATAACCTGCCTTCTCCTACATATCCACGCAAACCCCCCGGAGACCCAACAGACATAGAAGATTTCATCAATGTTGTAAGTGCGGTTTCTTTATAAGAATTAAGATTCATTCTGGAATATTTGTGGGTAATATTAGGAAATTTCCTTAGCATTTACTTTGAAAAGGTTAGTAAAAAGGAAAATATTAGTTATACATCATTACTATTCTTCATGGTGCTAAGTGCTATTTTTACTCCAAGTTTGGAAATTACAAATTTAATAGCTAAATCAAGAAAACAAAATTCTATAAAATAAAAACTACATAGTAAAAGAATTGAATCAGAGGCAAATATAAAACTTTAGATGACCCTTAAAATGTAATTAAGATGAATGTAGACACATTCTCTGACTTTGCTATGTAATTACCAATGAAAATCAAATGCACTTTTTTTTGCTTCACCTCAATAGGGGCTGGACGCTGCTGACAATGACCCTAATGTCCCACCATACGATACAGCTCTGATCTATGACTATGAAGGCGATGGGTCGGTAGCAGGCAGCCTTAGTTCTATTGCTTCCATGGGCTCAGACGGTGACCAGGACTATGACTACCTCAATGACTGGGGACCACGGTTTAAAAAACTGGCTAACATGTATGACCCACGTTAGGCACCAGACTGATTTTTTTGTTCAAGATGTTCAGATACTCTCGTACATGCATGTCCTTCAAAACTCTATGCAAATCAAATGTCCCATCTTCAATATGAGAGAGTGCTCATGATGTAAGGACGAGGGGGCGGATTACATTATTGATATTGTAGATAAACGGAGGTCTCAATCTATTCCCCAGTGATCAGTGTAAAGGTCATCAGTGTCTTTTTCCTTTCCTTCATGGATCAGTGAACTATTTCAACTGCAGGTGAAATGCTGCTGATATTGAAGCTGGTGTGACAGGTGCTTACTGTGGGCCAGTGCGCAAATGGCTCACATTGTGAAAGCACCAACTGGAGGGAGGAACCATGTGTTAGTGCATACTGATTAGACATGGTGCAAAAAGAGATGCCTTGTTCATAAACCAAGGGTCATGTTCTTGAGGGGTTATTTTAGCTGATGACCAATACAGAGGTTTGCGGAGCATGTGGGGTACACACAGGAAGAATAATTCACCCAAAAAAAGAAATTAATATTCATAAATTGTCATTTACTTATAACCATCATTCTAAACCCATGACATTCTTTCATCTATCGAACACAGAAGGATGTTTTATATGTTGGTAAACTTCAGAGCTGCTTTTTTCTATATAATTGGTGCATCAAGTTACACAGTGCCAAATTTGAATAGTAGTAACACCAAAGGACACTGGTTTTAGCGTATAAAGATGAGAGTGAAAGCACCAATGAGAAATTTTCAATCTTATGTGATTAAAAAAAAACAAAAAACACGTTCGAGTCAGTACAGATGATTTGAATGCGAATGTATGTTACTCAATGGACATAAAGAGTTATTTGTTACTCAATGGTATGTAAATATCCCTCATGTTTTCCGCCCATGAAAACCTTTAGTTGTACGGAAAACAGCAGCTCCAAAATTATATATTCTTGTGTATTTCAATGGAAGAAAGTCGTATTCCTATTAAAAAAAAAATGCATTAATTGTTCCATATCTATTTTTAAGACAGATCGACTGATAAAATGTTTTTTTTAATCTTTTGATCAATTGTTCTTTTTATACAGCATTAGTATCTTGTGTAATAATTGTGCTTGTAATATTATTTTTGCTTGCCTGCAGTTAACCTCAGTAAGTAAAAAAAAAAAAATGCATTAATTGTTCCATATCTATTTTTAAGACAGATCGACTGATAAAATGTTTTTTTTAATCTTTTGATCAATTGTTCTTTTTATACAGCATTAGTATCTTGTGTAATAATTGTGCTTGTAATATTATTTTTGCTTGCCTGCAGTTAACCTCAGTAAGTAAAACAAAGACATTTAAAGAGAATTAATATTAGGAATAAGTATAATTTTTATATGCAGCATATTAACAGTTTGCCAAATGAATGACGCCTTAAATGTATATATTTGTTCTTTCCCCTCAAGGACACAAGTTTTTCCTAATTACACAATGCCTATTGTAATAATTTTGGTCGTTTCTGTGTTTCTCAATTTTGAACTACATAGTTTTGTTTTTAATATTTATTTCATAATAAAATGTGAAATGCTGTTGTTATCTTTTAGTTATGAATAAAAGACTGGAATAATACCAGTCTGTATTTTCAATAAAGAGTATTTTTCATTAAAAAAAAAAGTTCAGTCATCTGCCAAAAACATTTACGATCAATATATCATTATATAATAATAATGAATAATAACTAAATAAATCGAATTGGTCAAATTAAAACTTTGACATTCAACAATTTTTTTTTAAATAATTTATTGCATATGTATGCAGAATATCCACTGCCACCACAATATGACTTCAGTCATACCACTGGCAATGCTTATCTGGTCTAACAAACTGGTTTCTCAGGCAACTAAGAGCTGATCTGTATGGTCTGGAAAGAAGCTCAAAAAGCACAACTACTTGTTTTAAAAACAGTACATTTCACGAACTTCTCAAAGGAGGTATCTACCACTCATTAAGAGAGAGCTACCTTATTGAGAAAAACACTTTTTACTCTTTAATGCTTGATTGATGCTTGGAAGTTGTTGTTGTTTGTCCTAAAGACATTTCAAATATAATTACTGGTCAATGATCAGCCTAAACCAAGCACATACGTTACCATTATTTTTCAGTCAATCGGAGCAGAACAGAGCTGGAACATCAAGGGCAAGAACAGCATTTTTTTCCCCTTAAAAGCACAATTTTGAAAATCAGACAGATCCTCAAAGGCAGCCGATCCACTCTTGAACTTCCACGTGTGCCCATTAAAGGCTGTTTACACATGTGAATGTGACTGCGTGTGTTGTGGAGCTCACGCTGGACTCAGGTTGAGGTCATCATCTTTGTCTTTGCGGCGGGGTCTCTGGGGTCTGCGTGGCTCATCTTCACCAGTGTCCTGCTTGTCTCTTTCAGCCTCCACCCAGCTTTGAGGGGCAATCATCTTTTTGGGTCCAAACGGAGGAGGTCCCAGCAAAGTCTCAATGTCATCGTAGTTGACCACCTCCCTCTCCAGCAGGATATTAGCCAGCTGAAAACACAGCAAACAACAACAATGCAACAAGTCATCATGCAAGCCAAAAAAAGTAATAAAAAAGGCCATGCTATGAGGATTTTCTACCTAGCTTGCCGAAAGCCAACTGAAATAAAAACAACAACAGAAAATATTGAATTTGACTATTTTTAGCTTCTGTAATATATATATGTCATTTCTATTTTGGCTCACAATTCAACAAAAAGAAAATGCTCATTTTGGCGTTTTTTCATCAATGTAACTTTACATGCCAGAACAGAAACTTCTAAATTAACTAATGTATTATTTATTCAAAACTGAATATGACCTCATATTCTGTAGTACATATTTATTGAGAGGTCCAAAATCGGTTTGTATGCTTAAAATCTTATATGTACGTGAGAATGTAACAAATAATATGAGTATAAAATAAGAGAAAATTTGAAATGACTGAATCAGCCAAGTTGATTTGGAGCCACATTTAGAAAACATTCTTAAATTTTTTTTTAATGTTTTCCTTATTTTCTAACATTTGTTAAACATTTTGCATTCCTAAAAACATTTCTTAAGAATTATATCTTTTTTGAAGATCTAAAGCTTAAGATCTTAAAAAAAAAAAACGTTGTCGTCGGCTGGTTGTCTAAATGTTTTGTTGTTTCAAATATTATGTATTTGAACGTAACATAACTACATCACTATTAATAGGGATGTGCAGGACTACTCTGAAGTGACACTGCTAATGTAAATAATGATCAGTCATGATTGTGTGTCTTGACTTTTTGCTGAATATTACATTAACAACTCTACAAAAACGATTCATATAATGCACTCATTTTTACTTCTATAACAGCACTTATGATATTGTGCATTCTCACTCTAGCAAAGTAACTATTTAAAAATACAGAGCATATAAAAAAAAAGCTAAATAAATTCTGAACTACTTTCAAGACCGATGAAAATAGTATGCATGCTTATGATTATCTGCATGACAAAAAGATGGTCTTTAAAGTGTTTTTCATCGAGTTGACCAGCGAGTCTTCAGCAAGATCCACCACACAAACAGGTAACCCAAAGCTTGCCATTTTCTTTTTAAGAAAACAAAAGGTCTCGAAAATATTTGAGAACTTCCTTAGAAGAATTTGAGACTCTCTTCAAGAACTACAATTAGGAACATTTTTATGAATGTCTTAAAATTGATCTTTAGAAATGTCTTCAACTTCTTTCTTAGGAAGATTTTCATGATTTTAGATCTTACCAAAATAAGTTTGTCTCTGTTGTCCAAGAGCAATTTCTCTGTGTGCCTGTAGGCCTTTGCTATTAGCATCTTAGCTTCCTGAACATGAGAGAAAAGAACACAAATAAATAACCACACACACATATTCAAAACAACTGATATTTAACACCCACACATGCCTCTGTAACATCACATCACCCACACCACACCACACCAGTGGAACAATAAACAGGTGAGTATGTTCTTTCACCCACATGGTCCATCTGCTGTTGGAGTCCTTGGCTGAATGGTCTCCGTCCAATACCGCCCTGATCCTCGGAGTCGGGGAAGGACACCTGGCCCACACTGGCAACCATGCCATACTGCTTCACCATGGAGTAGGCCACGCGGGTCACCTTCCTCAGGTCATCCTGAGCACCTACAACACGTTTCTAAGTTATCTGGTGTCTATTACCACCTATAAATATTTATGAGGTCAGGTCTGCATCTATACTACTGGGAACACAATTGCTCCTTGCAAATAACAATTTCCTACTAGTCAATATGCATCCATCCTCCAGGGGGCGCCTGAAAGCTACATTCAAATATTTTTCTCTCACTCATATGTCTCCTCTCTACAGAACATAATAGAAAAATCATTCAAATCATTAAATAAACACCCTATTCTGTTATCACACTGTTTCATGCCAATTACTATTCTATCTGCTAGTTCTGTTTCTCTAATATGTATTCATAACTCTCCTCTTAAAGGTGTGTGTGTGTGTGTGCCATCATATTAGATGTGTATATGTCATACCTGTGGTGACCTTATTGAAGGTGATGGCTTCAGAGGCTCGTCCACCCAAAGCCATACACATCCTCTCAAACAGCTGCTCTTTAGTAAATAAATACTGATCCTTTGGCAGGATCTGAGCAAAGCCCAAAGCAGCATTTGTTCTGGGAGCAATTGAAACCTGGAGAATAAGTCCACAGTTAAAAAACAAACACAATGGATTCGGGTATATTAATAAATTGTTAATTAATCACAAAGTGATTGCTATACAGGGTAGGGCTTACTTTGAAATGATTTTCACTCAGAAATTGCTATTAAATATCAATAATAATTTTAAAGAAACAGCAAGTACCACACTGAATTAAACGTGAAATTTGGAAGCAGACAGACTGAAATAGTATTTACTTGTAAAACCTATTCCAGAAACCTTTGGTTTATTCACAACTCTCAATCATTTTGTACAGTGAATCTGTCAAATCTGTGATCTGGCATTACAACATGTTCACAATTATCACTCTTCTGACGCCTAAACCTGAACAGGCCTACAGGTAGTTCCCATAAAAATGTAAACGCCAATATTTTTAACAACCAAAAGTTTGATCTGTCCCTCACATCTGTCCCAGTTTTTTTAAAAAGACTTAAGAATATAGCACAAAATTCACATAGACCACTTTTATAGTACTTTAGCGGTTTACCTTCATGACAGCTTCGGTGTGTTCTAGTAGCCATCCCACTAAAGCATGACCAGACTCATGAAAAGCCACCACCCTCTGCTCTTCTTTAGATAAGATTTTACTCTTCTTCACACTCCCTACAAATCACAAACAATGTGATCAACAAATGGAGCCGATTGTGTAGAAATCTGTAATGCAATATCAGAGTACACTAATTTTAGCCAGGAGCTGAATACCTGCGATGACTCTCTCCACAGCATATTCAAAGTTAAAGGTGTCAATAGACTTGTAGCCCTCTCTGGCAGCATGAAGGGCGGCTTCATTGCAGATGTTGGCGATGTCAGCCCCTGGAAATATGAACAATGCACAAAGGGCAAATGTGGCAGGATGTGGTGTTAGGAGATAACGCAGACACAGTCAAAACAACACTCACCACTGAAGCCTGGTGTC